TATATATATATATATATATATATAAGGCTACAGGGAGTCACTGTGCTATTGGTGGCACGGTGTGTACCAAACTCAATATGGATAAGAGGAAACAAAGGAAAGAGTTGTCTCAATAGATTAGAAAGAAAATGATATACAAGCATGGTAAAAGTAAAAACTATAGGAACATCTACAAGCAGCTTGATGTTTCTATGACTGTAGTTGCACATACTTTTAAGAGATTTAAGATCCAAGGGACTAGCCAATCTCTTTGGGAGGAAATTGATGACAAATTTAAGAGACAGATCATATGAATGATAATAAAAGTTAGGTTTAAAGATAAACTTCCATCTCAAGAAAAATCTGAGTCAGATCACACCATATGCCGTTTTAGCAAAAGTGGACTTAATGGAAGATGACCGTGCAGGACGCTATTTTTGTAATCAATTGATTAAAAAAACTGGACAAGGCCAAAAACTACATGTTGACAAGCAACAAAGCTTCAGGGAAAATATCCTATCCTGGACAGTTAAGACAAAATTGGAACACTTTTCCAAAGCATACAGCTCTATGTTCACAGACGGAAAGATGAAGCATATAAAGAAAAGAACACTGCTCATACTCTGAAACATGGAGGAAGTTCTGTTATGCTCTGAGGGTGCTTTGCTTCATGGGGCACATGGTGTCTAAAATCTCTGCAGCACACCATTAAATCACAAGACTATCAGTAGATTTTAGAGAATGTGCTGCCCAGTGTCAGAAAGTTGGTCTCAGTCGGAGGTCATGGGTCTTTCAACAGGATAGTTACCTAAAAATTCAAGAGCTAAAATCAGCCAAGAATGGCTAAGAGGAAACATTGGACTTTTCTGAAGTGGCCTTCAATTATCCCTGACCTAAATCCTATTAAGCATCTTTGGAAGCAGCTAAAACACAATGTCTGGAAAAGGCAACCTTCAAACCTGAGACGGCTGGAGCAGTTTGCTCATGAATAGTGGGCCAAAATACATCATTAACAGGCCTTTTCAAGTTTTTTTTTATTGTTATTCTTTTAAAGTTTGGTTGAAAACTTCTATTTTATTCAACTTATTTCTATGCAGTTTTCTTCCATTAAATGAGGAGTACCCACAATTTAGTCCACATGTGTAAATTACACTAAGATTCTGAATGCATCATACTTAAATCATTAACTATCAATGTTGAAGTCCAGGTGGTTATTTTGGGATATTGCAGTGATACTTAGGCCAACAGTGAGGTGTCTTGCATCTTCTATGCACATTTTTCCATCCACCTGTGTTACAAGACCAATGAATCAGAACACGAAAAACCCCTGGAAACCCCTGGGCCCCCAGTATGAAGACATCCAGCAATTGAGTCAGCACAGTAAAAAAAAAAAAGATGAAAACTAGCTTCAAATATTTTCAGCTGTTGCATAGTATTTTGTTTTGATCAAGTTCAAGGATCGGAAAGATTAAGTATAAAATCTTTGATCTTCTAATTGGGTTTTACTGTGTTTTTATTACGGTAAGATTCAAAACATGCATAAAATGAACAAAGTAAAAGCTGAATGAAATGCTTTTATTATATGATTGGGTTCTTTTTTTTTGTTTTGCTCCAGACTAAGTTTCCCACCATTGGAGAACAGCGTCAGGGAGCAGAGCTACTTAACAGCTGGGCTTTCAAATGCAGTTACAGCAGCGGTAATAATAGCCACACAGGAACACAACAGCATTAGCAGCAAACAGCAGCCAGTGGTAGGAGCTGCTCAGAGTTGTCATTAAGGTTAAATTGACATCAAGAAGCTTGACCCTGTATGAGTCATTATTTTACGCTGCTAATGCTGCCAGTAAAACAGAGTGGGTGCACTGCAGAGACACACTAGTGTTCATTCACAGTCACTAAGCCTAACCCTAATCTAGCTGAACTAACATTAAAAAAACTGCTAATACATAGAGCACACCTGAAGGGGGGTGTTCAGGTGGTGGTGCAGGGCTCACTGGGAACAAAGTACCTGTGTGTAGTTGCCAAGGGAAACAGAGGGAGAGAGGGTGGAGGTGATGTAGTTGTGGGGAGTGTGATGAGACACTATGCAGCCTTTTTGCACCAGCAGAACTGAAGCTAAGCTCATCAAAGCACCTAAACACACATATTTATTACTTAGGATGATGAGAAGAAGTAGAGAAAAAATGGAGAAGTTCTCAGAAAGAATAAGTGAATGAGGAAAGTAAAGATGGGAAAAGAAAGGCAGGGCATAAGTAAATAAGGAAAGGAAATAAAATATGTAGAAAGGGTTGATAAAAGGAACAAATTCAGTCAAGATGGATAACTAAAAATGTGGAAAAGAAGAGAGAAAGAAATATGTTAGACAGGAAAATAAAGAAAGAAGAGAGGGCAAAATTAAAGAGCGGGCAGAGAAGTAAACAAGCAAAGAAGAAAAGGGCAAGCATGATTAAGGATAGAGGGGAAAAATGTCAGAAAGGAAAGAAGAGTAAGAAATGTGGAAAGAAGCTAAAAAGAAAGTAGAAATCGGAAGTAAAAAGCAATGAAAGAAGGAAGGAAGGATAAAATGAAGAAGGAAGGAATAAGAAAGAAACTGGGCTGGGAAGAAAGGATGTAGGACAGGTTGATACAAAGAAAACAATGGAGCAAAGAAGAATGTAGAAAAGATAAATTAGAAGGAAAAAGGCAAAAAAAAGGTACCAGACAATGAAGCTAAGAAAATAAAAATGAGAAGAAGATATTATAGTAAAGTAGTAAGTCCAGAAGAAAAATGAAGAATGAAACGAAAAGGAAAAAGAACAGAGATAAACATATAAGAAAAAAAGAATCAATTAAGTGACGGACAGATGAATAGAAAGAAAAGATAAAAATGTAAGAAACAAAGGAGAAGGCGGTTATGAAAAATATAAAGGAACAGAGGGGAAAAAAGTAGGTGTCAGAAGGAAGGGTAGAAAAAGAAGAAAAAGATAAAGATCATAAAATGTAAAGAACAGAGGAAGGAAAAAGGGAGGAAAGATTTTGACCGAAACAAATAAAGAAAAGAAAGGAGGAGTCACAGTGGGGCTGAAAGCATGTTGTCAGTATTTTTGGTGAATAATTCATTATTTCTCCAGACTGTGGTGAGATGGTTGTAAGTCAAAGTAAAATTGGCTAGAGGACAACATCATCACAGTCCTCATGTCACTGCAGCGGTCCTGCACGCTCTGTGATGAGAATAAACAGCTGCCACTGTGCTCGCTGATGGCTCTGAAATTGACTGATAACCACACTCTGACTCAATGCTGGTGTAATTTCTGCTCTGGATGTTTGAACGTCTGCTGCAAGCTTCACCAAAGTGATTCCCTGGTTAAAAGTTTCAGACCATTAATGTCAATTTCAACTCAAATCCACCCACACACATAAACACCCAAACATAATAAGATCAGTAGAGCTAACAGCTGTTTAAGCATTTGGGTAAAAATAACAGCTGGGAGCCTCATATTATCTTTTACCGAACACACACTTACCTAAAAGATCATTAATAGCCAATTAAAAATTTAAATTGTAGCATCGTATTTATCGTGATAAGTGAAAACTGAAAGCAAATCTAACAACTAACCTGTGAAAACTGGGAAGTATTTATTCAGATCAGATGTCTTAATCTTGTCCTCCAGGATATCTGTCTTGTTGAGAAAGAGGATGATGGAGGTGTTCTGGAACCAGGCAGAATGGATGGTGGTGTAGAACAGAGCCAAACTTTCATCCATACGGTTCTGAAGAACAGAATCAAAAGATAATTTTATACTCACATTTATTTCATTTTTTTTATTGAAACAAATTCACAAGAATCATAAGTTGCTAACTATAAGCCTGAATATTTTGCATGTTTTGTTTTGGTGAAGCTGGAGTTAGGAAATATTGAAACACATAGCAGTGGAAGAATATGAGGAGGGAGGATGCAGACCAACATGGAGGGTAATAAATGCTGTAGGCGACCAAAAAGTGTCTGGGAGAGATAACCATGTTAGTTACATTCTGAGAGGGAAGAAGAGATCAACAAAGGAGCAATGGAGAAGAGAAGTGTTGTGCAGCAGTGGCATCTGCGGGTAAAAGGATGTAATTACAAAAAAGAAAAAAAATACAAAAACTACATCATTTAACAAGGTGAGACATAACTGTCAACTGAAAAGGAGACAATCAAAAAAATGCACTGAATAATGTATAATAATAATAATAATAATGTATGAAAATGGATAAAAAGCTGCAAATTTAAAAGGATCAACAGTTTCTAAACATCTCAGTTACCATGAGTTGGTTCCCCATCTGACATGGGTCTGTAAATGAGCAATTATTAAAGATGAGTATCTGCTTTATATTAGGGGCAACGCTGCTGAAGTTAAGGATGAAGCTCTGTACAATGGGAGGTCGGGCTTTCTGCTCAGCTCCTCCCAGGGTGTGGAAAGCTCTCCCGGACAACGAGGCCCTCAGACTCTGGATGTTTTTAAATGAGGTCTTAAAACACACCTTTTAATGAGAGCTTTTCATTGAACTCTTGCCCTTTTATTTATTGTCTTTTTTTATTGTATATGTTTTTTTTACTTTCTTTTTTCATGCTTTCCATTCATTTTTATCTAGCACTTAACTGATTTGCTATGTAGCAATCTGAGATTTTTATAAATATAAAGTGCATTATTATCATTTTTTTTATTATTTTGACCATGTCATGACAGCTTCGGTATAATTTAATTTAATATAGATGCACTGATTAGTCTAGATGTTCGGGAAGCATACGTTTTCAAAGGTGGAGCATTTTACAGCCTGTAATACCCATTGATTTCGGCCTGCGTGGTTGTTGTTGGACTGGTTAGAGGATTTAAGGAGCGTCAAATGCTAAGAAGATTTGTCAGCTTCTCAAACTACAGTAAATAAGGTCTGAGCATTATTATAGAATCTAGATGCCTAACTCTTTTAAATTAATTATGTGATCTCTTTTTTTTTTGCAGTTTGCTTGTAGTTTTAAATTAATTATGTGTTCTCTTTTTTTGCAGTTTGCTTGTAGTTTAATTGTAACTAATAATTGAATGTATAATTTGTAATTTGTAATTTAATGGTATAGTAAAATACAAACAAACTGCATAGAAACATGCAACAACTGTCAGAATGCATTCTGTATTTTTTTAAATAGGTATCAAATCTCACAGTTACTCACTTCTTTTAGTTGGTTATTGACAGACAATCCCACTTAAATACAGAACAGTTTGAGGGGTAAGATGACAAAAGGTAATATTTTTGTAAAGTACGGCACAAGATGCACAAAAATTTTTTTTTTTCAAACGCTAAAAATGTACAACTAGAATGACTTCAATTGTTGAAAAGTCCAGGAAATATTATACTTTTCAAAGTTCAGGGTCATAATCAGGTCAGAAAGTTCCAGACCTTAACCCTGTTTTACCAATGCGCAACGTCTAAAGTGTTACTTAATGGGCTTCTTCTTCAAACTGCAGTTCAAGGGATTTTTAAATTAAAACAAAGAGCTGAAATGTTCGTTTTTAATATCAAAAGAAACAGGAACTAAACTGAAAATGCTCTTACAATGCTCTCTCTCTCCTCTAGGACCTGGTCGTACTCGCTGAGGGAGGCCAGGAAGATGAGGGAGGTGACGTTTTCAAAGCAGTGGATCCACTTCCGACGCTCTGACTTCTGGCCGCCAACATCCACAATCCTGAGGGAGGGAAGAAGGATGGAAAGTTAAAAAAAAAAAACTGTATGCATCTAGAATAAGGAAGGAAGGAAGGAAGGAAGGAAGGAAGGAAGGAAGGAAGGAAGGAAGGAAGGAAGGAAGGGAAATTATTAAACAAAGAAGGGCTGACGCAATTAAGGCAGAAAAGGAAGGCTGTCTATAACCATGACAGAAGAAAGAGAGTTAAAGAATCAGTTTTCATCGATGGAAAGAGCGACTCTAATATTGATCAGTAAAAAAAATAAAAGGATCAGTTATTACAATAAAATAATGACACACAGATTTGAAACAGGTAACAACAATCCTAGTTTTTTAAGGTTCTGCTAATATGGACGTAAATATTCATAAAAAGAATGGAGTTTTTTATATAAAACAGTTACAGCAGCTATTATTGTGTTATTAAAATGTCGTAATGGCCTCTCCCAGCACTGACAAAGTGAAGAACACCAGTCAGTGATTTTAGGATGCTATTCACACTGGCAACTTGTGTGTGTCAGAAGAGAAGCAAGCACCTCCTCCAGTTTTCCCAAACATCGAAATAAAAAAAGAAGGAAGTGAGCTCAAAGCAAAAACAAACATGGTCAGTCAGGATTATTAAAAGAGCTTAATGTTTGTTTTACAGATGAAGGCTTAAATCTCTAGAGCAGAGATCCTCCTTTATGGGATTTGGAGAAAAATCAAACCCAAAATGGACAGTTCTCCTCTTAGCAAGAACAGAGATGCAATTAGAAATGTGATCCTGCTGTGTCCAGGCAGACAAAGCCTCAACAGTATTTTATTCACAGTGCCTTGAATAGTGTTGGTATTGGATTAGTCCCTGTGAGAGGGCAGTAATGTGAGGCTCAGCCACCTTAGCGTGATGTTCTTGATGGTGAATGAGTAGTCGTGGATGCCCGTGGTGGGAAACCGAACACGCAGCACGTCCTGCTCTGTGGGGATGTAGTCGTGGGCCGAGATCCGCTCCAAGTTGCTCAGGTAGCTGAAGGAGGAGAGAATGAATTTAAAGCGGAGTGCAGACAACTAAACATTATTAAAACCTCTGCCTCTGTTTATTTTGCAAGTATCTAGTTTGTGTGAAACAAACTGGACTTGACAGGACATGTGGTGAATTAGTGAGGGAAGTAAAAGGTGTGATTAAAAAATACTAAAAGAAAGTGGTGGGTGAGGGCTGCTGTGTGCAAACAGCAGCTTTATGGCCCATGTTGAAACAAGCTGTCATTAGCTAATGTTGACTGACTGTCTCTTATCGTGCTCACATCATGATGACAGAGCTGGTGGGTAAACACGGGACAGCACAGCAAAAGAAAACAGAGACTAGAGGGGCAGGCTGGAGCCAGGCTTTGTTCTGATCCTGCAAGGATGACACCTACTGCTATACATTACAGGAAGATTACAAACAGCTATTCAGACTGTAACTGTGCACTGTCATTTAAACCCGTTCAAAAAAAATTAGTTGGTAAAAAATACGCCCTCTAGTGTTGCAAATACAGCAAATCTCAAAGCGTTGAGCTTATTTAGACAAAAAAAAGAAGAAAAATCAACAAATAGACACATTTTTAAATAAAATGTGACAAGAAACTAAAATAGAACAGGAAAACCAAATGAATATGATTTTACAAACTAGGATTTTATAATTGTTATCTAATCTGGTAATCATTTTCTACAGAGGAATGGTCATTAATTCTTGTTCTATCCTGACAACAAAATATATTCAATAGACCAAACAATCAACAAGAAACTGAAAACTGCAACTTATAAACTTATTAGGTTTGAAAATAAAACAAATAATACTACATGACAAATCTTTGATCCTGAAAAGATTTTAAAGCTGACATTAGTATAAGAAAAAAAGGCCCCACAACTTCCACATATGAGTCTTGTCGCTAATCTATTTTTTATATTTGTATTTATTTATTTTATACCTGAATGCTAATGAAAATAAATGTTCTGTTTTGACTCCTTTTTCTTTAAGGTCTTCAAAGTTGAAGCTTATCCCAACACAGCTCTAATTTAGGGTCAAATCCAGAGCCAGCTCTAAAATTCAATAAGCAGGTATCCAATGAACCAGAGCATCTCCAAAAACCGGGATTTCAATTAGTTAATACGGGCTATTTTAGGATTTTTCATCAAAAGAACAAAACGTTTATGTCTATTCATTAAACAGAAAATCACTAAAAGTTTTTATTTCTATTAGTTCTAACAATAAATGGTGAGTTTTTCAAAAATGTTCATATTATATAAAATCTAAAAATATTCTTTTAATACAGAAATGCAGTGGTGGAAAGTAACAAAGTATATTTACTTGATCATTGTACTTAAGTCATTTTTTTAAGTGTCTACTTTACTTGAGTCCTGTTTAGGGGGGGAACTTCTAACTTTCACTCCACTACATTTCAAAATCAAATATTCCTCCTTGTTACTTTAGAAGCTTGTTACTTAAGAACCCCTTGGATTGTTTTAGACATTTGCATGACGTTCCACAAATGTGAGAAACTCAGGGTAGTTATTATTTGTAGTTTATACATTTAATTAAGGTGTTAATTGTTGCCATGTGGCCAAGTTGTTCAGTAGGAGGAGTTCTAAAAGCAGAGTTGTAGTTTCTTTGTGGTAATAGATTCAACCCTTAACTTCTATTCCATAGTAAAAGTGGAGAATCAAGACAATCTGGTTTGTTTTTTGCTTTGTTTTTAAATAAGAAATAATAATCAAAATAGCTGTCCTTATTTTTTGTGTTTTTTGTGTTTTATTATGTTGAAGTTGTGTTGAATTGGTACCAGAATTGTTCTATACATCAATGAATCAGGCGGTTTCTGAAAGTTACAAGTCTCTTTGAAAATTACACAGAAATGTATAGAAAATTTTATTTGTACTTTTCAATACTAAAAAAAGTGAATATTTCAAAACTTTAACTTAATTAGAGTAACTAAGTTTGAGCGAGTAACTAAAGGCTGGTTTATACTCAGAAACCATGGTTTGAAAATAACCTGCAGGTCGTCTGCGTGTGTCGCAGTGAATGCCAATGTGCCCCCGCTCCTGCCGCAGACACTCTACTGCACCTCTCCAAAATTGTAGGTGACCAACCAGATGAGGCCTCTGATTGGTCAAATCTACAACCGCTCTACACTATGCATATTTCCTGGTTGGTACCTTACCAGCTTGTTCCGCCATTGCGGAACTCGTGAAGTTGGAACAGCTAGTAGAGCGAGGTGCGTGAGAACGCTGGGACCCATGGATCCTAGGGTTGTCAAAAGTATCGAAACTCAAAAAAGT